CTTTCAAAACACAGTATACATTTCGAGATTGCTAATTGACCTAAATTGGAACGGAGTTGCCTATATAAAAGCTGTCACATTCGTTACTATTAAACGACAAAGAAATGACAACTTCGTTTTGTATCAATACATTTGTTCGAACTTTTGGCGCTTTGACGAAATCTCATAGTGACGATACGCCTACAGACAGATTGTGTACTATTCCTGGCGAACGTGCATCCAATTTGCAACAACGGATAAACGTACGATAAATTATTCGCGACGCCCATATGCCCCTATTATTCCCATTTTAACGTAATGGAGAGCTTTTCGTACCCGTAGAGACCGATGGTCCCCTTGGAATGACTCCAATGTTGCAGTGCGATATGTCGCATCGATATAAAAAGCTAGTATCGAGCTGGCGATAACGGAAATAACGCGCGATTCCCGACTGCAACATGAACGATACATGGCCATGATCTGCATTTCTTTCATTCTTTCACTACAAGAAACATCGAAATATAACAATGCAGAAAGTGTATTATTAATTATATATACTGCGTCAGGTCAATCAAATTATTAAGACATTTTGTATTACGTGCACAGAAAAATTTGGTATCCTCGGTATCGCTGTAATAGTTTCGAAATTAGTTCTCACACATTTGAAATTGGAATAGCCTGACTTTCATCTGCGAACAATCGAACGCAAGATAAGTTACGTTCCGGCGATCGGGTATCGATTACCATGAATGGGTTACAGCGAGGAAATCGAGGAGGAAAGAGGGGAAAAAAGAAGTACGCCGTCTCCTTAACCTCGCTTTCTGCTTCCGCGAGCAAGGCAAACACGTTTCAGGCTCTACCTCATGCGAGCTCCTCGAACGTGCTGCACACCAGCTTCGATTTGAAACTTGGCGACGTTTGTCGCAACTTCATTTTCAGATAAGTGTCAGACACTTTATCGGTGGCAATTGTGCCTCGATCCCGATCTCGTACTTCGTAACTTTGAAAGATACAAATAACAATTATTAACTTTTTAAACTTAAAAACCTTTTGCCAGATATATCATTTTTATAATAAATTTACCTGGGACTATAAAAAATTATATATATTTACGCATTCAGCAAAAATTATTATATGTCCTTACAGGAACCTATATTTAGAGATTTATAAAATATACTTATAAGTTACTTATAAATAGTAATGGTATACTTATAAATTTTATCTCTTTAGTAAAATAATCGTATGCCTTTCATATATATCTATCAAAGATAAAAATCGTCTGCATTGCAAAATATCAAATATCGGCGATTATGTCAGTAATAAATAATTCAATATATCGACGAATATATATCGAATTTGTCATCTCAAGATCGACAGAAACGTGCCACCCATGCTAATTAGTCGAATCGATATTCAACCGATGAGCTTTAATAAATTCGATTAACTGACTCGACTGTGTTTAACAAAAATTACATCACGCCAATTTCGTTGATAGTCCAATCGCGTTATTTTAACAATTAAAACATAACAAGTTCTTAATGAAGCGACAATTACTCTCTATTGTGCAGTCTGAACTATTTCCCGATAAATTTGTCCGTTTCAAGTGTAGTCTCGTTGGCGTTTACTAATTTATTGGACAAGCTTCCTGATTGTCAAATTTAACGAGCAATAATGAATCACAGTTTATACTTAATTCCCCTCAACGACAGGGAAATCCATTCGCCAATAAATGCCTCTGTTTCATTGTGGAGCCTCGGCATCGATTGGTTCATGACATTCATGAGCTTTGAAACGCTACGTTTCCAAATTCAATACGATTTCTCGAGATAATTATATATATCGATAAATAATATATGAATTTCACTCTTAGAAGAAAATTATATGAAATATTTTTGTATAGAAAGACACAACACAATCTTCCTGTATTGCGCTATCATTTATGATATGTTAAATATTTGTTTTGTAAATTAATAATTTCATATGATCATATAGAAAAAGCTTCATTATGAATTATAGAATGACAAAAGATATGTAAATATTGAATAGGTAGATATGTATATTTAGCTCATATTAAAATCTCTGTTTACCCTTTATTAAATTATTCTTAACAAATCGCGTATCGCTTCGTTATCAAAAATCTGCTGATATTATCACATATTTAAGTTTAGTTATAACCGAATAGTCTCCAATCAACTGCATCAAAATCGAGCATTCGATCAAACTTTTGACCGTTGAACGCGAACGAAGTCTCGAAAGAACGACGTCTCGGTTGATCCCTTTTGTTTCCGACTGGACGCTTACTCACCCTTTGTCGATCACCCGAGGGTCGGATGCCCGCACAATCTGTGACGTCGACAGGAAATGTCGCACAGATCGGGGATCAGCTGAAGCGGACGAAGTGTGACGTACCTTGCACCACCCGGTGCTCGCAGTGGTGAGAATGACGATATAACTTTTCACCACCGAGCACAACTGCCCTCACTATTCGAGGGTGCGCGGACGACTGAGATCCGACCGTCGCCGTGGGTGTAGCTGTGCGGTAGCAGCTGCCTCCCTCTCACCCTCTCACCCTTTCACCCATCGCGAGAAAGCGCACGCTCTCTTTTAGCCACGAAGTGCTCTCTCTCTCTCTTCTCTCTCTCTCTCTCTCTCTCTCTCTCTCTCTCTCTCTCTCTCTCTCTCTCTGTCTGGCGTTATCGCGCGAGATAACGAGCGCTGACAAGGGCTAAGTGTGCTCTTACAGCCACCGGAGGTACTCGAGGCGCGGCGTGGAGCGGAGTGGAGCGGAGCGAAGCGGAGCTGTGACGACGCAACGTGACGCTACGCGCGGCACGCACCGGGCCAGAGACTCTCGAGCGCCGCGAGCGGGAACGCGTGTGCCGCGCGTGTCCGCGAGTTTCGCGTTCTTCTTCTCGTGCGTCAGTGTCTCGGGTGACGTTTCAGAAGCGACGTGGACGCGACGCGAGTGATCGCGCGAAGGATCGGCCGTGGCTGATGACACAGGCACGATTTCTGGGTCACGGACGGCGTCCGGCTTTGATTTCGCGCCGTCGTTGATTCCGTGATTCCCGTTCGTTGATACGCGTGAGAGACCTCGCCTATGATGGATACTGTCGTCAATATTATATCGAAATGAAGAAGTTCTTTCGAAATTTGTAAGTTTTCGCGCGAAGATCCGCGTAGAAACGCGCGAAGAAACGGCGATTGATCGGCATTGAGAGATTTTGGTGTATCTATGTTTGATCACTGATAATTCGCCCAACCCACGTTGTACCTCTAATCGATATCGCAAATCTCGCGGCTCGGATACTTGAATAATTTTCAAGTCATGTGAAACACGCGGTTTTCGATAAAAAAAATTATATATATATATATATAAATACAATAATATAACAAAAAAGTGTAAGAGGTACTTCTGAAGAGATTTACCTAGAGAGAGTCCGAGGAAGGAAAGATACGGTTCAAGTTACCATAGTCAAGTTACCAAGTTCTTTCTTCTCTTATCCAGACCGATCTTCAGGAATGCTTCCACACTGCCTACTACTACCTGGATTATCCACCGCGGAACGTTCCCACCCTTCAAGAATGGGAGAACAGCGAGCAGGACGGCGAGAGGACCGCCGTGGCCGTCCAGCAATTCGTTCAGCATGTCGCGAGCCTTCACGCCGACGGTGACATCGGCTTCAGCAAAGAATACGAGCTGATACAGTCCGAGACCGGCGATTATACCGTGGAAAATTCTCAGTTCGTTGAGAATAAGGCCAAGAACAGATACCTGAATATACTCGCGTGTAAGTAGACATTGACGTATCGCCGGCCCGTACGCTCTCGTAATATTTACAAACGAAAGGAAACGTCTTAATATAGAATCGGCAATAAGCTACCGTTGTACTACCTCTACTACCTCGTGATTCCGTCTCTGAGGCATCGTTTCTACTTGTCATCGCTGAGACGATGATGCATGTTCGCTCTGATTAATTTATTTTAATTCGAGCTGACCCTTCGGTCGCTTGACCGCTCATCGATATCATCTGGCTGAGATCGTGACGTATCATTATCAATTCCGAGAACGAGAAAAGGATTCGGATAAATTTAAATTTGAGATAGACTTATCGCGTGCGGTGGTTGAATAATAACAAATTTATCCGGGAAGAAGATGAATTCTGAATGAGAGAGGAATTCGAGAATATCGTCGCTCGTGAAATTTATTCGAAATGACAAATGTTCTTGTTTGTGGAAAGAAGCAATCGATATGCTCCTTGAGTCAAAATAAAGTTTGATTTAAATAATATGTTGATTTTTCACCTTGACTAGGTTAATAAATAAATAATTGCGCGATTAAAATTCATATTTTTAGACCGATAATGAGTTATGATTACAGAGATTATAGCTGAAATTAGAATGCGAAGGCATTGCCTTTCTTTTTCTAAGTGGCTTAATTTTATTTTATTATTATTAGACGATCACACGCGTGTGCAATTGCTCTCCTGCGGCGGTGGGCCGCCTAAGAAAGGTCAGGATTATGTTAACGCGAATTACATCGATGGATGGCAAAAGGCCCGAGCTTACATCGGTACCCAGGGTCCACTTCCACCTACGTTCGATGGTTTTTGGCGGATGATTTGGGAGCAACGCGTATCAATAGTTGTAATGATTACCAATCTGGTCGAGCGCGGTCGTGTAAGTATAAAGTCGTAGTCGCATTTTTTTATAACATCAATTAGAGTAAGTAAGTAAAGCTATGTAAAAGTGGTGAAACAGAATTGTAAATAGGAAAGATAAATTTTTTTTTTGAGAAACAAATTAAAATTGAGAAACAAAGATAAATTAGTTGATGAGATACGTAATCGAACTATTGTTACTTGCAGAGGAAATGTGATATGTATTGGCCCAAGGAGGGCACCGAAACGTACGGTTACATTCAAGTAACTTTAGTGAGGGAGGACATTATGGCTACCTACACCATCCGTACTCTGCAAATTCGACATTTAAAGGTATATATTTTAGAATTAAAACGCATAAACTCAAAAAATTCTCATGGACGAGAGAAAACTGTTGCGAAATCGAAAGCTGATAATCGAATAATTCTCCCAACGAGAAATTCTTTCGGATTTTTAAGCAGATCAAGAAGAAGAAAAATGGGACCAATATGGGCGAGCGCACTATATGGCAGTACCATTACACCGGCTGGCCTGATCATGGCGTGCCCGATCATCCATTACCCGTTCTGAGTTTCATCCGTAAATCGTCCAACGCTAATCCGCCCGAAGCTGGACCAATTGTAGTCCATTGCAGGTGAAAATCAAATTGGATTTCAACAGTTTCCAATTACAACAGAGAATTTTAATGGCTTTATACGCGCGCTTTGAATGTTTTTAAATATTTCCAGCGATTTTTAACATACGAATTTATTTTTTATTTTAGTGCCGGCGTCGGACGTACCGGAACGTATATTGTGATCGACGCTATGCTGAAACAAGCTAAAGCCAAAGGCGAGATCAATGTATTCGGTTTCCTCAAGCACATCCGCACCCAGAGAAACTTTCTGGTTCAGACGGAAGAGCAGTACATCTTTATCCACGATGCCTTGCAGGAAGCGATCGAGAGCGGCGAAACTAATACCGAGGCCAACAATTTAATAAAACATGTTCAAGACATGTTATGCCCATCGAATAACAAGACTGATGCGTGGAACAACATCGAAGCTCAATATAAGGTAATTGATTTATTTTTTAGATTTTTACCAATGATGGATTGTTGAATTATTGATGTAATTGTTTGTTACTTTAGCTGGTGACGTCGTGGAAACCTAAAGATTTTAATCTTGTATCTGCTACCAAAGCGTGCAACGTTCACAAGAATCGTAACATGGACATTATTCCTATCGAAAATGCGCGTGTTCATCTAACGCCGAAACCAGGCGTTGACGGCAGTGATTACATAAACGCGACCTGGGTTTCAGGTAACTAATATTACAACATACATATTAAATGAAATATATATAATTATATATTTTATATATGATTTTTGATTAATTAAATTTTAGTGAATATAAAGTATGTTTATTATTACAAAATGATAAATATTGGATATTGTTTTTATATTAAGATGTTACTTCTTGTTGCAAATGGTAATATATTATTTCTAGGCTTTCAACGCAATCGCGAGTTTATCATAACGCAACATCCAATGGAGAACACTATAATGGAGTTCTGGCAAATGATGTGGGACCACAATGCGCAGACTATCGTCATGTTAACTCAATGCGATGAGGTACGCTTCGAGTGAGATTATTGATAGCCGTGCAAAGAACTAAAGAAAGTAAAACTTTTTAATAAAGAATGTTGTCCGACAGGAATATCCAGAGTTTTGGCCTATTGAAGGAAAAGATCTCGAATCCGAAACGTTCCGAGTACGACTTTGTGGAACGAAAGAGACTGTGAACGGGACAATCCTGCTTGAAGTCGCAGTTCGATCGTTGCAGGACGATTATGAGCTCAGTGCGAGGATCGTTCAGGCGCCATCGAATCAGAGCGGTTTATGGCCGCATAATAACAATCCGAAAACCTTTGTTAACATCATCCAAGATTTTCATCGAGATTATCAGAATGGTCCTATTGTCGTAATGGATAGGTGCGAATCGAATTTCATTCTTGCTGCATTTCTGCAATTACTTATTTCAGCGATATCATATCTCATGTTACTCATTTTAGGTATGGTGGAGTCGAGGCTGCACTTTTCGTTTTGTTGACGACATTAAACAAGCAATTAGAATTCGAGCAAAGCGCCGACATCTACATGTTCGCGAAATTGCTCTACATGAAGCGACCCGGCGTTTTTCGGTCAAAGGTAACGCTTCTGTCAGATTTTTGTTCTTCTAATCGTTCGTATTCACGATTAGGAAAAAAAAATCTATTTTGACAAATTATTTTTATTACTCGCAGGAGGATTATGTATTACTGTACCAATGTCTTGAGTCCATGCTATCGACGAAAGGTCGCGCGGAGCCCGATCTGTACGCCATGGCGAATGGACACATTGCCACGCTGAACGATCCGAATGAGATCAGGTCGGCCTCATCGATTCAACACATGCCAATAGATTATTCATCCAAGTCATCTGTCATTCGCGAATATGCGACCGTAGAAGTCAGTTCCGAATATCTGTCCGACTATACCATTCCTATACGCGTGGACCATCCAATCGAGTCATCCAGCAGTCGTGGGAGCGAACCCTGCCTATCCTCCCACGGCGGCAGCAACGATCACGTAGTAGCACCGGAGAAAAGCATGGTGGTGTCGCAGAGAAACATTAGTTATCATAATCATCCACCATCCGGCGTCTCCGTAATGGTCGATGCTAATGGTTATATCACAAACGGCAGCATGCGCGTACCATCCGACAGTATGGAGCCCAGCTGTAAGATGATGCCGCAATGATGCCGGCCTATCTTCGGTTGCAGCGCACCCTCGCGAAGATCGGCCCCGCTGTAATCGAGACTCACCGGTCGCCGGAAGTTCAATCACAACCCGGTAGGTATCAGCTGTGCGAATTTCCAGGATACGGGACATAGACATGAGATATTGTAAGAGATATTGTAAGAGAAAAACTTTATTTTTTTCTCCTGTCAGCAGACTGATCCTCGCGTTGCGGAGGAGGTGATAGTTCGCATCCACGGGGAAACTGGAAGAGCTTCGAGCGGATTTCTTAGTGTACATAGAGCTAACGTGAATGTTACAAAGCGAAAAAGAAAAAAGAAACATGAAGGAAAAGAATTCCGATAAGGGATCCGGTTTCTGGCGCGTAAGCGGACAGTGCCAAACAAAGAGACAGAATTGCCGCCGATGCATCGCCGATGGGCGATGCCTATCTTGTCCGTCGTGTAAGTTTACGTTGTTCAATCTTATTTCGTGTACATATTATATATTATGTATAATTATACTGATATACACACACGCGTGTACGTACGCGCGCCGCGCAACACGTATGCATATATAGATAAGTGTACACACACACACAACACACACACACACACACACGCTACGTAAAATATTATATATATGTATATGTGTAGGAACTCTCTGTATGCTCATGTGCGTGTGCAAGTGTATATGTGCATATGTGTGTGTATGTATACATATACACGTATACATAACACATATAAGCATGTCGAAAATCTGACAGCTCCGAGTTGCCAAAGAATCATTACGATAAGCCTAATTAGAATGATATTTTATGCGGATGAGTGTGTACATATATCATATACGTATACACGTGTATCCAATTATTCTACGTGTTATTATATATATATATATATATATATATATATAAAATGCGTATGAGGGTGCATCGCCGGGCGAGATGCTTCGCATCTATGAATTATGAGATAGTCGCACGTGATAACGAAATTCATTTACGAGCGTCTGCCCTCTCTCGTTTTTCATCCACTTCGATTTGGCCCAGCCCCGAGTGTTGGCCGCGACACGCACGGCTTGTCGTGCTGCTACTGCCATTTAACGACGATACAAATGTCGGTCGATCAATCCTTAAAGTTAAGTTCGGACGAGTCATTTCACGCGTAGGCTGCTCGATATACGCGACTCAAATCAAAACTGCGCGTATTAGACGTCGTCGTACCGCTTTTACGATTCGTTCACGAGACGAAAATCACGTAAACGAAAATTAAACGCACAACTTCTCGTAGAAGATTATACGATTCTTGTTAACGTCTAATGCATAACGTTCCTCGTAATCTATCTGTGAAAAATAGCGAAGTATTTTTTTTTTTTTTATAATATATAAATGACGTTTGCGAAGAACGCAGAAGTCGAACGTGTTTTTCGTATGAATTATTCATTGAAAAATATCGCTAATGAAAAATGTAAATGATGCGTCGGTTCGCGCTGTAACTTATTACGCTCTTTTTAAATTGAAAAACCTAAAGTAATAACGTGTTAAGTCTTATCACAATGACAATCGCGGTACTTTTATTTATAGTTGCGTGTATCTTGTACCCGAGAATTGTGAAACAAATTATAGCGACATTTTAGATTTGCAATTTCCGCATTTTTTATATTATATGTATCGATACTGTGCACGAATGCGTTAAGAATTACGTCGTTGAGAAATTTAGTTATAACTCGACATTTAAGCGAATAATTAGTTCCATAAAGCCGGTAACGCCTATTAACGATATTTGCATAACGTTAATCAGCATGATAAGTATAAAAAGAGAAACAAATTATGCGAAATTATACGAAATTACGTATGCACAAGATAGCGTTCAATTTCTTTTAACTGCCAAGTTTACGACGAAGTGGAAGCTCACGACGAAAAGGAATCGGAAACCGACAAGGCCGTTTTCGTTACGTGTGAAAGGAGACATCGTATAGCTGTACTGATTTACTAATGTGTCTTATCGATTATTCGTTACCGTTGCGCAAAAAGTGCAGTTAGATACTTTTGCGAAGTGTACGTTCCGTCGCTTGGCCTAAACTCGTACAGTACAAATTAGTCTCTACTTTTTCGAAGGACTACTCATTTAAGTTAACGACGAGCAATTAAATGCGAGAGACTCAAACCGGTTCGTTTCTACTTGCCGAAAACTGCAACTTAAAATTAAGTAACAACAACACCATTCTAATCATAATTACGATAAGTACCAGTCAATATCAATCCGACCGACGTTCTTCCGTTGTAACCGACGAGCGGATTCTCGCGTCGTAAAAAGAAAAAAAAAAAAAAGAACAGTTCCTCGCGAATCGCGGCGCGAATATTCGGCAGATTTTTACGACTCCGTCGTTCGAGGATGTGCGTGATAATTGCAGAGAAAGAACAAAGTTCGCTTTAGTCGCCATTCTTCGGCGACGAAGCAGAGCCGCTGGAGGAAAGGGAGAGAGCAGAGGCAACCGGGTGAGCTGCGGGCCAGAAAGAAAACACTGCGTGGAAAGAAAGGGAAAAGTGACTCCATACGTTCTATTTGTTCAGCTGTGATTAGCTGTGCGAAAGTGGTATACGTGTTCGTTAGAGAGGATCGCGCTAGCGTCGATATTCGATGGAGTTTACGCTGTTATCAGGAGCGCCCGCACGGCACGCAAGACTGATTCCGACGAAAACCAGAACGAAAATCAATTCCCAACGTCGCGTTCGCTTCGCGACAATCGTAGGGAGCGTGAGACGGAAAGAATCTCTAGCGGAAGGAACGACGTCGGTCCTTCCACGAGAGCTGCCCCTTCGTAATCTGCTCCGCAGATAGCGCCGAATTAAGTAAGCGCTTGCAACGCCAATAATGCAAGCGCTTACTTCCGGAACGGGCCGAGCAGATCCATCGATCTTCGAGATAGGGAATTGTCCACCGGAAGCCCGGTAATTGATGTACGTATATCCGATTAGCCGCGATCGGGATCTCGATTAATCACGAAGTCGTACATACGAGAAACGCCTATCGACTATCGTCTAACTAGAGAGATTACTATGTATGTAAAGAACGTGTCTTTTAAGTTAATGCCGTGATAACTTAAGTCACCGAGAGAAACGAGCGATATTACACGTACATATATACACGCCACATGCACATGTACACGAGAGTGATGAACAGTCCATACCAACACGAACTCGTCGCGCTAATATTTGAGAAAGAAAAAAAAAAAACTATATATATATATATATATATATATATATATATAATATATA